AGAAGAAGAAGAAGAAGAAGAAGAAGAAGAAGAAGAAGAAGAAGAAGAAGAAGAAGAAGAAGAAGAAGAAGCTCTTTTTTGCTGTATCTATCATGATATAGAGAGTCAGATTATAAGACTTTAGTCTTCACTTTCAGTATTTTCCACCCACAAAGATGTATTGTTTACATTTGTTGCATACTCATTTTTCATCAGTGCTTTTTGTTTCTTTTCATGCTTTTCTCAGGAATTTAGTTCCCTATTGTCCATCAAAATTAACTCCTTGTTGTTCTAACATTGTATACTACATTTATTTCTTCAACTCGCCTTCCATTTTTTATGTTGTACTCTACGGTTGCTATCCTTTGTCAAACAGATTTTTCAAGATGCTTCTCAAGACCCCCCAATGCCTCTTCCAACTTTAAACTCAATCTATGAGCAAAGGCCAACAACAGGTTCCACAATGGCTGATATTCTCTCTCAAATCAGTGTATGTCCTAAAAAGCCTGACTACATGTCTTTTGTCCTATGAACTGTGATGCCCTAAGGAAGGAGATCAATAGAGAACTTTGCTAATTCATACAGCATCATTTTTGAGCAAACAAATGTGTAGGAGATGCTTGGGTAAGAGATTACATCACACATTTGCTTTTGTCTAGTTTAATTTTATTCAACATTCAACCAACAATTACAGGTTACTTCTGTGTTCAGGCACTGTCCTGGAATCTAGTTGTACATAGATGAAAAATAAAACACCCCTTGTCCTCAGTGATCTTATGACATGATTAGACAGCAGAGATGTTAGCAAATGAATCCAGTACTCTGTGATGAATTCTATAATGGCGGAATGGCCTAAATCCCACAAGAGTTCTGGAAAAATAAGCTACTTGATTGGAGGAAAGCAAACATTCATTGAGGAAGTCAGACTTGAGCTCACTATTAAAAACAACATACCATGCAAGCCATATTCAGTTTATGGGAGACACTGAATCCCAGCTACTTGTGAGACTTCAGACTAAAGGGAATTAGATGACATATTAACTCAAATATTGTAGGACGAATCTACTTTTTTGGGGGTATGTCTGGGCATCTGTTAGACCTTTTAAAGTCTGCAATGTAGAGAAGCACTAATTTTTCAGAAAGAGTTTTAGAATTTCCAGCATTTGAGAAACTTGACACTTCCTGGCAAAACAAGGCTTTTGGATTAAGTGCCAGTTTAACATAATAGCTGTTTGAAGTCTACAAAATACACTTAAAAAATAATAGCAGGCTACAATGCATTCTGTTTCTGTTGCTTAGCTAAATTTTATTACATTTATCAAACATCTTTAATGCTAAATGATCATAACCCATAGTCTAAGAATAAATGCAAATATTGATTTCACAAGGTAAGAGAAATTAAATTAGTTTATCAAATTTCCACGTGCCACTTTTAAACTGAAAAACACAAAACACTATCAAATTTTTAACTTGCTTCTTGGTTGTACCCATTTCAGATCACTCTGTATGGTAATGTGTAGAGAAACTACAATTTATACCAAATACATATTTGTGAAGTTTGCTTGGAAAACAACATTATAGTCTGCATTGCAGGAACAGGTGGCCTTAGATCACACTTCCAAACTTTTGGAGAATAATACTCTACCTTCTCTGGAGAGAGTTCATCTATTTGATGCTGGAAATTGGCTGTTGAGTTCCCAGAAGCAGTAAGACAATCAAGAGAATTCAAGGAGAATGTTCAGTTTTGGCTAGATTTATGGGAGAGCAGGTGGTTTGTAGTAATTAATATACAATTCCTAGTGATCTCTCCCCAATGTAATTAGGTGTCTTCAAGCACTAATGAATCTCACACTCATTTTGGCTATTTAAATCATTCAAGAAAGCTGAAGCCATATATATGTGCCTTGCATCATATTCCATAATGATCTTCTGCGCTCTTTCACCATCCCCATAAGTTTGCAACCCTCCAAACTGAGGTCATTATCAATCACCTGCAAGTAGAGACTATAACTAACTTTTGGCACCAATTCAATTTAAACATAGTGAATTTGGGTGATTTCTGGACAGTAGTGTTTCCTCCTAGATACTATCTTTGACTTTGTTTTTCAGTCAAACAATTCATCTTTTTTGTTGTTTTTATGACAGAGATATGTTTCTGGAACTCAGTCTTTGTGAATGTGTTTCTATGCTAAGCACTCTGCATTTAGTCCATTGGGTCTGGCTCCCAGCCCTACTTTTTTCTAGCCCTCTTAATAATTGGGGCTCGATGTCTGACTTTAGCCCATTGAGTTGCTGTCTGCTAACAGTTACCAGACAAAGAAGTTCCTAGATATATTATATTGCTTCCTACTGGATAATCCTCATTCTGACATTCTGCTTATCTAAACTAGTTGATCTACTCTTCCGCCTCTGTGACAGAAGTATTACATCTAAGGTCACCTCTGAAATTCAGTATTCTTATGCTTTGCTCACTTCATTTTAAATTCTTGAGCCCACAGACACTTTACTTATTTTCTTTATCTTACAATAGCTATTAGCATGATGAAAAATACCTGTTCCATGTTATGCCTAAGATATTTGATATATAGACAGATAATGAGGTTAAGCTCAACAGTCTAGGTTGTAAGGTAATAACAATAAGCTTCTCTTCTAGAGGCTTAACAACCTAAGTTTGCAGACCAAAAATTAGAGAAGAAGGAAGGCTGCAAGGAAAGCCAACATTTTGGCCCTAGCCTTCCAAGTTCAATTAAGAATCAGGACATATGAGAACTTGTACTGTAACGTCATGTAACCCAGTTGAGTCCCAAGTTTTCTGATCAAGGAGATTATGGAGCCAAAGAGGAAAGTGATTGATGATGTAGAGTGTGCCTAAGGAGAGTCACATGGAGAGAAAACATTCTCTCAGGCTTTCACAGAGAGCACATTGGTCAAGCAATGGCTATGACTCATCCACACGGCTGACACTGATCTACAAACTGAGATACAGGGTATCAGGATAAGTCCTGAAGGGATTTGAATGACCTTATCAGATTCAAAAGCTATAATTCTTGTTACATAGGTCTTGCTTTACCTCGGTCTTAACCATTCTGCATAAAAGTATAAAAATAAATTATAAGAAGTAAAGCCATGTTGTTATGTTGAGCTGTAGAGGATTCAGGTCAACAGCTTCTTACATTTCCAGTCAAGTGGAAGACCCAATACTATTATGGACTACTGGAGTATTTTGGAAAGTTTCGCTGAGTTCACACACTTATAATATTTAAATGATGAAACTAAACAAAAAAAGGGGATAGAGACGAATGGCCATTTTATATCTGTGTATTCATAATGGTTAGAATAGATATATAGCTACATTCTCTTAATTCAATGAATAGAGGGATTTGTTCTACCAGAGTTTGTAAATAGGATATCATGTCTGCATCTTGTACAACAAATAATCACTAGGAAGACAGTATGCAATGTGTTACTTACTGAAACTGTCCTACCGATTTGAAACTATCTCATTGCTGTTTGTTTCTGAATAAATTATGGAAAAATGGAAAATATAGCTATTAGCACAAACATTATCCTTGTGATTCTTGTTCTTTTCCCTCTTTTTTTTTTTTTTACAAAGATTGGCTAGGAAATGAAACAGTCTTACTGACCTCAAATAAAAGCCCTTCAAAACCAAGTTCTTTCTTTTTCTTCTTCAGTTTCATCATTTTATTGACATGGCTGGTGACAATAGCAAGGGCTCCCTCATCGATGGGGATTTGGGGAGCTGAATGAGAATATAGGTGAGATGCCACCAGACCTCGAGACTCCGGCCTTCTTACTTGTTCTTGACGTGGACCATCTGGTCAAGCAGAGACTTGGTGCCATCTCCCATAAGGGGATGGAGCTGCTGGATGCTCTCTATCACAGTTTCCAGGTACTGAGGGGCGATGCATTTCTTGTGTTTGTTCTGAGCCTCCTTACCAGCCTGGTCCAAGATGTTAGCTGTCAGAAACTCTAGGACGCCAGCGAGGAAAACTGGTGTGGCAGAGGACAGTCGCTGCGCATAGCCACCTTCTCTCAGGTATCGCTCCACTCGGCTAACGGGAAACTGGAGTTCTGCCCATGAGGAGCGGGAAACTGCCCTTTTTCTGGGCTTTGAAGACTTCCTTCCTCTTTTCTTCCCAGTCATTACATTTGACAAAAACTGACCCAGCTTGATGTGTCCTGTGGCAGGAGCTGCTGAAACTAAATGTTCTTACAGCCTCTTTGTGCTTTTTATTGGTCAGGAGTTGGGTTTGTAACACTCAGATTTTGTGATGTCATGGGTGGCCACTGACCTCTGTTGAGGTCTCTGTCTATGTATGTCCATGGTGTGAACCTCGTTGCCCCAGTAACTGGAAGCATTATTTAAGGGAACTCTAACCTTCCAATAAACTTTATTTTATTTTTTTTCAGAACCAGGGATTGAACTCAGACCCTTTGCTTGCTAGGGAAGTGGAAAGCCCAGTA